GAGGGCAGGGCAGGAATCCTCCCCTCGCTGCCGCTGCCCCGGAGACTGCACGAACCACCAAAATGGAATCAACGCTCCAGTGTTGGGAGCACGACTTCTCCGTGGTGTTTCAGTGTCGTGTTGTTGGCCTGCTTGTCTCTAAGTGGTCCAAGAGGGAAGTCTTCTGGCTTGGAAAATGAGTCCTGGGCTGTGTTGCATGGAAAGGGGGAGAGATTGAAAACAGAATAACGTGAGAATGTCGTGAACTTTGATTCAGTTCACTTGTGCCTTACGTTGGAGGTCACCCCTTTTTATTTTCCTGATGATGATGGAGATGATCCTTGAAGACTTCAAAGTTTATAGAATATTATTCTTCATCAGAGAAGCAGAGTTGTCTAGTAGGTAGAGCACCAATGCGTGAGTCAGGAGACCTGGGTTCTACTGCTGGATCTGCCCTGGCCTACTGTGTCACCTTGAGCAAACCACTTCCCCACCCCTACCTCTGCTTCTCCTCCTCCCTTCTGTGTGTCTTGTATATTTAGATCAGGCCTGGGCAAAATACGGCCCCAGCCTGCCAAGGTTCCAGGTCTGGCCTGCGGATGCAGCAGGGAGCCCCAGGCAGGCTCGCTGCTTGGCTCGCCCCACCCGCACGCCACTCAGAAAAGCAGCTGCTAGTTCTTTCAGAACTGTGAGCCTGGAGGGGAGGGAGGAAAGGCTTCATGAGCTGCCCCCAGCACAATCCCATTGGCCAGTTTCTGCCTGTTTGAATAACAGGCAGCCACAAAGCACCACGCCCCCTCCCCTCTGGCTCATAGTTACTCACACGCTCACGCTGGGGTGGGGCAGGTAGAGAGCTGAGAAACATGCTGGCCTGGAGCCACCCAGGTAAGTCTCCTGGCCAGAGCCTGCCTCTGGCACCCAAGCCCCTCCCTTCCCCAACCCTCTGCCCCCCACTTCACATACCCAAACCTCTGTCCCCCTCCCACACCCATATCCCTTCCCTGATCTGGCAGTGTAACCCTCTGCCCCAGATCACAATCACCTCGTGCCCTAGGTCATAATCCAAACTCCTGCACGATCCCAAACCCCTGCACCCCAGTACAGTGCCCCAGGTCCAAACTGCCTCCTTCACCCACATTCCCTCCCAGACCCCACATTCCCTCCTGCACCCCAATCTTACCCCAAGCTCCCTTTTGCACCCAGCCTTCATCCCAGATGCCGCACTTCCTCCATTAATATCATGGAAGAGTGCAGCCCTTGCCCACTTTCCAAAATCTTGGGCGTGCCTCCCCCATCGAAAGTTATTGCCCACCCCTGATTTAGACTGTAAACATTTTGGGACAGAGATTGTATCTGCTCTGTGTATGACAGCACCTAGCATACTGGTGCCCTGATCTCAGCTGAGACCTTTCATACAGATTAGCATAATAAATACAGGCAGTCCCCGGGTTACGTACAAGACAGGGACTGTAGGTTTGTTCTTAAGTTGAATTTGTATGTAAGTCGGAACTGGTACATATTGTAGGGGAAACTCTAGCCAAACATTTCTCCAGAGCTCAGTTTTATTCTCCCACACCTCACTTCCCTCAGTCCTTTATTCTCAAGCTGAGGTGTCTGCTGAGAAAAGCCGCTCCGCGTCTCCCTGGTCTGCTGGGGGGAAGCAGCTAGTGCGGGTTTGCCTCACCCCGTTTGTAAGTAGGGATCCGATGTAAGTCGGATCCATGTAACCCAGGGACTGCCAGTATATGTTCACTGAATCTTTTTGAATAGGTTGATTTTTGATCCCATTGTCCCTTTCTAATTATACCTCCCAAACTGATGTTTTCCTGCACCAGAACGGCCACCTGGGGTCTAACCACTGGTCCATCTAGCACCCTGACAGTGACCCGTGACAGATGTGTCAGAAGGAAAGAACGGAAGAGGGCAATTTCAAGTGATCCGTCCCCTGTCCTCCAATTCCTGCTTCTGGCAGTCGGAGGTTTAGGGCCACCTGAAGCATAAGGTTCCATCCCTGACCATCTTGGCTAATAGCCACCAGTGGAGCTAGCATCATGAGCTAATTCTTTGGGTTTTTTCATGCTTTTCAGCCCATGGGAATGAATGAGTGCCATAGGTTGACTGTGTAGTTCATATGGCTAAAGATTAAAGGACAGAGTCCATCTTTCGACTTCTCTTAAGTAGTTAAATGGTTGATGACGTTTATCTGAATGTTTCATTTGTAACCTGCCGCTGTGGGGATGAGACATTTTAAGCCGTTACCCGTGTTTGTGCTTTTGTGCCTCTGGCATTACTCAGCAACCGGCACTCAGCTGAACTAACAGTGTGACGCTGAGTGAGAAACATGGGGATGTTAAATATCGGTTAATTGAATAGTCGATGAACCTCATGAATTCTTATCGGTTAGTCGACTATTCTATAGTCCTTGGGCAGCCCCTGTCCAGGGGAGAGGGGTCTGAGCTCCCAGACCCAGCATGAGCCAGAATTGAGCCGGGCTGCCTGCCTGCCTAGCTCCTAATACACTTTAAATGCAGAGCTGCAGCAGGGGTAGGTCCCGGACCCAGTGCAACCCAAGACTGAGCCGGGCTGCGGATCAGCCTGCTAAAAAATGTACTGGCAAGGGGTGGGGGGGAAATGCGGGTAGTCTACAGCATTAACCTATACGGTTTTTTTTGCTTATTGGTTAGTCGACTACACTACTACATCCCTAGAGGAACACGGCTAGGAAGCCCATTGCCATGCTAGCTGATGAGGTTGGCTAGTTGCATGTATGGAAGTAAACAAACCGTTTTAAACCAACAGCAGATGTCATGAGTTTCATTCATATCCTCTATTTTCATACTTCCCACTGGCGGTGACGCTGACCGACAGGGAGCTAAAAGAAAAGCCGTATATCTTCAGCGGTAGAGAGAGAAAACATGGCATGGGAGAGAGGAGTCACACGATCCTCAGAACAACGTGATTGAGGAACCCTTCCCACCCCTCGCCTGCCTTGCTGGGTCTCCCATGTTGCTCTAGGGCTGAAGGAGACTGGGAAAGCCGGCCTTGCCTGGGACCTGATGTCAGCTTCACAGGTCACAAGAGCCATTTGACCTTTTGTCGCCTGTGGACCTTGCTAGTGATTCTCCATGATATCTCACACACACACACACACACACCATGCCTGGGGTAGATGGAATTTGATCACACACACGCGCGCAGTCACACACACACCCATCCCTGGGGCAGATGGAATTTGATCACACACACGCGCGCAGTCACACACACACCCATCCCTGGGGCAGATGGAATTTGATCACACACACACACACACACTCCTCCGGGTCAGGGAGAACAGGGCTGTCCCAAAGCTTTATTGCACATCTCAGGTGCTAGAGGTGGTTTCTTTATCAGTGTATTTCTCTCGTTTTCCAGATGGCCTTGGTGACGTTTTAAGCCATTTGAGGAAACAAGTTGAAACGTTGTTCAACGCACGCTATGGTAAGATGTTCCTTAACCATTGTTCTTAACGCTGAGGCTCTGCCTGAGGGAGCTCAGAACGTAGCCCATTGTTCAGAGCTGTCACCTGCTATTTCCAAATCGGTTGTGGACTGAGTGTGACATGGAGTTTGTTCATTTGCTCTCTGCTGGGCCTGCAAACGCATTGGGATTCTCCCTGGACCTTGTTGCAACTCATCCCCTCGATTTACTGGAAAACGCTCTAACTGGCTCCTGCCTGCCCAGGAGTTGCCTCAGTGACCCACAAACTTTCTGCACAAGGGAGAAGGGCTGGACTATTTTCCTTGTCTGGTGCTTGAAATTTTCAGAAAGTCTTTTCAGTAAGATTGCTCTGGAGTGTGTCACGGTATTGGGGGGGGATTATAGTAGCGCACTAGTGAAGTATGGCAGTGTGGTCCACTGGTTAGAGCAATGGCCTGGGAGCTAGGAAACTTGGGTTCTGTCCTTGTGACACTAACTTGAGTCCAGATTTTCACCTCTCCTTCTGGGAAAATGCCATTCACTTCCTCAGTGTTCCCCTTGGGAAACAGGGCTCTGGTCTGTCCATTTGAACGAAGTGTATGGAGATCTCTGGGTGAAAAACACTGGGGAGTGTTTTTATTACCATGCAGCAGTTTGTTGCGGATCTTGATTGAAGTCAGAGTGAACATGCAGCACAGTGTGTGTGAACTGAAACGTACTTAAATACTAACACACACACACACACACACACACTGAACCACTAAACAAGGGACATGGAAAATTACAAGTAAATTTTGAAGGGAAACAGAATGTTTTCTGGGCCTGTCTCGAGCAGAATTCAAGGCTCTGTGTTTCTCCCACAAGAGCTGATGTCACAAACCCCAGAAGCAGAGCAAAGGAGCTGCAACCTTTAAGCTGCTTTCGCTGCTATGGGCAAGTTTTGCTGGAAAAACACACTCCACAGAGCTGAGGTCTTGGCAGTTAAAAGAAAGAGGAAATGGGGTTTCAAGTGGGTTTAAAAATGTCCTTATTTGTCATGTTAAGGTTAAACCTGCCATTCTGTGGCTTGAATTAGGATCTGAAGCGCGTCTGTTTGGTGGTTGGGATTATTTGTTATGGGGTATTTATACCTCTTTAGAAAGCATTTCTGTTCCACGTTAAGTGTGGGCAGCTTCCGATCAGAAGACGTCTTGCAAAGAGGAAGCGCCTTCTAGGACGGTTGCAACAAATCGGTTCCCTGTTGTTTTGCAAGACTGAAATGATCCGTGCAGAGGTTCTGTACCTGGGGATGCACATTTCTTAAAGAGCTGTAGACTCAACAATAGGAGTTCATTAGGAGCTGGGTCATTCCTGCATTTGGTAAATAGGAGCCTGCCAGCTCCAAAGCGCCGAGTCATGTCCAGCCCAGTCTTAATTGTGCTTTTGTTTTGATCAAAAACCCTAGCTGGGGGATGTCTGTTCAGCAGCCTGTTGACTGGCGCTTCACACACTGAGCTCCTGATGCCCGTAATGGGGCAATTCCCATTTTCTCTGTAGAGAGCAATGAACGGGAGCTGCTATGGGCCGAGCCCTTTTGCAGCTTGAGTGAGCTTGTGTCCTCAGTCCAGTTCCTAGTGGACAAGTGTCCTTTATTGCAGAACCACTGCAGGACCAGTCCCCGACTGCCACCCTTGCAGCTAGGCTCAGTGGAATGGGAGGGAGGAGGGGCAAATGCATTGTGAAGCATGAGCTACTCTCTTGCCCTTGAAAGTTGTGTCTCCACATCAAAGTTAAGGCAGGTTGGTAGGGCCACGTTTAAGATACACAGAGGATCCAGGGCTGGATTAAGACCTTTAGAGGCCCTAAGCACAGAAAAGATTATGGTGCCCCCCCCCCCATATGTAATTCAAAATAAAAACAATACTATACCGTAAAATCTCAGGGTTTTTTTGGTGCCCCTGCTCTGCCTATTGGGTAATCCAGCCCTGGGAGGATCCCAGTTCTGAGGTCTGTCAGTCGGGTGCCTTTCACCCACATTAAGTTCTCCCACACCACCTCGGAAACAGTCGAAAGTTTCTTAGGCCCACTCCAGAGCGTGGCCCGTGGCCTGGCCTGTGTAACCCGTTGGGGAGTGCATGGTCTCTGGTCACCTCTGTGCTCTTTAGCTCCAGTTGTAGCAGTTTGCACATTTAGCAGTGAAGGTCCCCCATTCAATAGCGGCGGTGTTGATTGGGGTGGCCCAGAAGGGGGCCAGTAGCACATGCACCAGGGGGGTTACACTTGTGTAACCACCATCAGGAGAAGTTGAACCTGGGACCTCTGGAGCTTACTATATGAGCCTCTGCCCTCTGAGCTAAAAGCCAGCTGGCTCCCAACCCATGCTGGAGAGGTCTCTTGACCTTAGCTGTTGCTGTGGTCCAGGTGCCACTGCATGGGACAGTGAACCACACAAGGGGTGTGTCTAGACCACAGGGTTTTGTCGACAGAAGTTGGCTTTTGTCGACAAAACTATACCTGCTTCTACACTACCAGCGCGTTCTGTCGACAGGAAGTCGACAGAACACGTCAGTCGATAGCGGTAAACCTCATTTTACGAGGAATAACGCCTTTTCGAAAGCACTCATTCGAAAAAAGGCGCGATTGCATGGAAACTGTGCTTCTTCGAAAGAGAGCATCTAGACTCTCTTTCGAAAAAACGGCTTGCTTTGTCGACAATACCGTAGTCTAGACGCTCTTTTTTGACAGAGGCTTTGTCAACAGTATCTGTCGACAAAGCCTCTGTCGAAAAAGGTGTGCAGTCGAGATGTAGCCTAGGCGTGTGGGTTACACTTGCGGCACAGTATGGCAATTGTGTGTGGAAATCTCCCCTTCTGTTCCAGAACTCTGGCAATTGCAGAGAGAGGGAGGTCTGTGGGGATACAGACAAGGGGTCCCTGTTGCTTTAACAGAGTAACTCCCAAGGTGGTAGGAGACTTCTTTTGACAAGAACATTGCTGAGAGGCAGGTTACATGTTACGTTAAACAAGCAAATTCAGAAGACAGCCCAGGATCAGTTAGATTTAAACCTCTCCCCAAAGCCTAGGATGTGATGTCAGTTTTCCTTGGGCCCCACGCGGCCTCAAGAACTAATGAGATTTGATCCTTGCTCAGCTAAAGCCATGGGAATTTCCGAGCCTGTCAAAGTCCCCTACGCCAAGTTCTTGATGTACCCAGAAGACCTGTATGTGGTGGGTTTGCCTGAAGGCATCTTACTCCGGCGTCCTAACTGTTTTGGGATTGCAAAGCTAAAAAAGATCCTGCAAGCTAGCAACAGCATCCAGTTTGTCATTAAGAGGTAAGGCAAGTCTGGTTCACTTTTTATTGGTGTCTGCAAACCTTTCAGGAAGGCTGCCCCTTTGTTTGTGCCTGTTTGTTTTGCTCCGGTTTGTGCTTTTCCTTCTCAAGAAGAGACCTGTGTCCCATAAACCACCAGGAACACTTCCGGAGCTTGATCTCCTCCATAGCGTTCCCTCCGAAAGACATCGGCTGGGTACTTCCTGTGAGCGGTTGCTCAGAGGAAGTGATGACACTGCTGTGCTTTGGAGGGGGAGGAGCCAGAGGGTTTGCAATAGGATCCAAATCCTATCACCGTGTCTCTGCTTCAAGAGCTACTTAGGTCATTACTACCGGAGTCCGGAATCATGGCTGGGAAAGAAAAGCTCCCTGGAAATGTGGACTGGTGCATTTCAATGTGCAGGATGTGAGACTAAGTGATTATGCAGGGCCTTTCAGCAAAGCCATGTGCAGACTAGGGATGTTAAATGTAGTTTAATCAACTAATCGACTAGTGGATGGATTCTCCCTCGACTAGTCGATAAGCGGGGCAGCCTGCTGTCAGCTCTTACTACATAAGAACATAGATAAGCCACTGTTGGCTCTTAATACATTTAAAAGGTTGGTGCACAGTGGGGGGGGGGTCTGATTCCCAGCTCTCTACCCCACTGCTTCCCCTGTCCCCCTGTGGAGATGGTGCTTTTAACCCGGCTCCCTACAGTGCCAGCTCCTGCTCCCCCTGCTTGCTGCCTCTGATAGAGGCAGCAAGGGAGGAGGGGAGGTGTGACTAGTCGAGGGACTGGTCGACTAGTCGCTTAGGTCCCTGGTTCAGACTGACTGTTTAAAACTCTTTGCCTGTATGTGTAACCTGCTTGCTGAGTATGTTAGGTCTCCATCAAGGAGCCGGTGCATAGAGAGGATAAAGGCCTGCTGTTGCCGCCAAGCTGACGGAGTTCTTTCTTTGGCTTCAACGGCAGAAGTCTGTGCTTTTAGTGCTGAACGTCCCCGGTTCCGTGCACATTCATCAGTTTTTAGTCGCAAATAAAATAAAGCAACTGTTAAAGCAGCCTGAAGCGGCACAAACACAGCAGTGCAGGCCAGGAAGGGGAGAAAAACCCTGTGTCCAGGAGAAACTTCCTTTATCATTTGTTTATAAACGCTGAGGTCAAGGCTGAGCAAAATGCCACAGGACAGTCCATAGCCCCAAATGGCAGAGGCTTGGTGTTGCATCCTGCACCTCCAGCCGTTGAATGTTCTGTAACACCAAGCTGGGACACTGGAGCAACGTGGCACTGGATGGAGGAAATCAGTTTACGGCATCACCAGCAAAACTTCCTGCTGCACCTAACAGTTCCAAAGCCAGGGAGGGAAATTTAGATCCCCTGTTAATTTCAGTGGCAGGCTGGCATCTAACTCCCCTAGCTGGAGGTCTCCCCTCTAAGTGCTAATATTGCCTAGCTTCGCTGACCTCTTTAATCACAGCTGTAGGGAACAACCTCTCCCTCCCAGATGAGAGGACTTGTGGAAGCAATGTTGGATGACAGCTGAAGAGGATAATAGAAGTTGGGCGCCGAATTTGGTTAGCATCCAACCAGTATTTGATCTGCAAACTGACAGGGGGTTGGCATTTAATATTACCTCCCCCACACCTTCAAACATTTTGTCCATAGTATATCTCTAAACACCAGTATGCAGGGTTTGTAAGAGGTACCAGTGATATATCCTGGTTCGTTTTTAGCAAAAGTAAAATTCTTGACACTGCCTTGTATAGTGAAAGGCACTGCATTGTACCTGTGTGCTTTCCCTGTGAATGCATTTATGTTCCTCTAACTAGCAACTTCTTGTGGGCATTGACGACAGTGCCCTCCTGGAGGAATTCATGCCATCCTGGGAAGCATTGCTTCTCCAGTAAGTTCATAGCCTGCAAGATAATATGCTCAGCCGCTCTGAGCGTAATCTTCTCCCATAGGGCGTTACACTAACTCTCTGAAGACTCTTCGGCATGAAAATGATTTCCCAGTTTTCCCTGTTGCATTGCAAGAGGTTTGAAATTGCATTAGCCACAGGTGCATGTTGGCTTCATGGGCACAGGCATGTTATCCTAGGTCAGTGTTTCTCAATCTTTCTTTATAAAGTAACCCTTTAAAAAATGTATAAGTACCCCCCGTACCTCCAGTTTTCAGACATACATTTTTTTTTCTACCATTTCAATACATTTGTTTAAAGAACTTAATCATAGCCGGGCAGACGATAACCTTTTTGGGTGTAAAAAGTACAAAAATAATAAAGCGCTGTAAAACTTTAAACAAACATTCAGTTTTCTTCAAACGTCACTCGTGTTGACGTACCCCCCCGACTTCTCTTGAGTAGCCCTAGGGGTTGAGAAACACTGCCCTGGGTGACAGCGTGTGGGAGTAACATTTACAGGAATGGATCCTCCCTCACTCCTTCGCTGATTTTCAATATTTTCCAGGCCAGAGCTTCTTGCTGAGGGAATGAAGGAGACGACCTCAGACAGCCCAGGAACTACGGGTAGGATTTACTGATAACTCGGGGCATCAACAGGAAGGAATCGAAGCAGTTTCCAAAGCAGGAAATTCCTTCCCCTACCCCTGACTCCTTAGAGTGCTGTGAACACTGGCAGTGCCTTAGGAGTGGCGCACACCCAGTAGCTCTGAAAATTAGACCCTTGTTTATTGTTGCTTCACTTGCATAAGGGCTCCTCATGCTTCCTGCTTTGTCCCTTGTCTTTGTAGCGGGCGAGAGAGACTCCAGTGACTCCCTCATCGAGGAAGCTACCAAGAGACAGGGCTTTCAAGGTAAGGGTGGGAAGCATCTGGAAAGCTCTCCTAGGAGTCCGACCAAAGAGCTTTTGGCTGGCAGTCTTCTCTAAAGCCATGGCGGGGGTTGGACCAGACCTGGCCATGGCAAGAGAGAGGAAAGGAAAGGGCAGCACGACGCCTCTCATTCAGCTCTTGTTAATGTACATTTCTACAGAGGCATTTACAGCACCAGAGCCAATCCCTGTCTGTCTCGGTCCGCGGGATCCAACCAGTTCTGAAGCAGTAGTCACTATAGAGAACTAGCCACGCTTAACCAGCCAAATAGCCACATTGTTCAAGCCAACTAGCCACGTGTGGCTAGTGTGTTGGACACCACGGGTCTAGGTACTGGTGTGGCCCTCCTCAGCACAGTGTTGGGTGAATCCACAGTCACGCACGGACACATCTGTCCAGCGCTGCCGGGAGGGAGGGGTGCATAATTATCCCCATATCCCAGGTGTGGAAAATGAGGCCCAGGCATAACAGGAACTTGTCAGACCCACAGCCTGCAGGGGGCAGAGAACAAAGCATAGGTATCCTGAGTCCTACAGTTGTACCTAATCACAAGAGCATCCTCCCTCGTGGCTGCCCTGGTGAGTGCTAGTGAGCGGGCATGAAGAGGACAGAACACGCAGCTCGGGTTCTGGCGTGGAAGTGTCATTGCTGAGATGGCGGTAGCCAAGGGGCCAGGCCGTGCAATGTAAACGCTTGGCAGGCAGGCAGGGCCCAGAGCTGAGGCTGGGGGGAGAAGACAGAGGAAACGGGATGGAGGCCGGACAGGAGGGATCAAAAGTAGGGCCAAGGCGAAGTCTGGGCAGGCCCGTCTGCCGGCGCTGAACGCAGGGGGGTTGAGAGGCATTCGGGAAAATGCCGCGAATGAAGGACTCAACCTGACGTTACCAGGCACACGGTTCAGTCCTCGGGGCCCTGTGGTTTGTGTTGCTCGTCCTCACCGCTCAGCTCTGCAGGGCTTGTTGGAATAGCATGGCGAGCTGCTGCCAAGCCCCTCTGGTATGTCTCAGTCTGTCCACTGGGGGGGGGGGGGGACAGAGGAAGGAAGGGTGCAAACACCCCCTCCGCTCATGGCCCTTCATAATGCACCATGGGGCCGAGCCCGTCTGGCCTAGGGAAGGCAGGGGCGGCACATTGCCCCAGCCTCCCTCTCTCGTGCTCTGGCCAGCCGAGGAAGACTGTGGCCAATTTCCCCCCTTCCTTACCCAGGAGCGAGACCGGGGGTGGGGCCAGGCCGTGCAGGGGGACAGCCACAAGCCCCTCCCACAGTTCGCACTGCCCCACACAAATTCCTACATGTAGACCTGGTCCAGCCTTTGATGGCTCTGTCATGGCGTCCCTTACGCTATCCAAGAGAAACGTCTCTGCTCTTAAACCCATAGGCTGTGTCTACACTCTCGGCTTCTTGTGCGAGTAATATGCAAATGAGGCTAAGCATGGAATATCGCCGAGCCTCATTTGCATACCTAATGAGCCACCATTTTTTTTAGAAGAGGCTCTTGCGCAAGAAGGAGCGTCTACACTGCCCCTCCTTGTGCAAGAAAAACCCTCTTGCGCGATGCTTTTTTTCAGAAGAGGCTCTTGCGCAAGAAGGAGCGTCTACACTGCCCCTCCTTGTGCAAGAAAAACCCTCTTGCGCGATGCCGTTCTTCCTGTCAAGTAATAGGTGTCACGGCATTGCGCAAGAGGGTTTTTCTTGCGCAAGGAGGGGCAGTGTAGACGCTCCTTCTTGCGCAAGAGCCTCTTCTGAAAAAAAGGTGGCTCATTAGGTATGCAAATGAGGCTCAGCGATATTCCACGCTTATCCTCATTTGCATATTACTCGCGCAAGAAGCCGCGAGTGTAGACATAGCCATATTGTGTAGGCAGAAGGCGCAGAGAAAAGCCAATGTTGAGCACTGTCCAAGTGCCTCTCTTTAGACATTATTGCTTGGCAAACTGCAGACCTTCACAGATGAAGGGGCCTGGTCCAGGGTTTGTTGACTTCGGTGGACTATGGAGCGGACCTAGAATGAGCAGTCACTTGGAATCGGGCATACACGCTGCCAAACTTCGACCCGGTATAAATAGGTGCAAACCTCATTCTGGGATGCATTAACAGGAGTGCCGTGAGCAAGACACGAGAAGCCATTCTTCCGCTCTACTCTGCGCTAAGCAGGTCTCACTTGGAGTGTTGTGTCCAGTTCTGGGCACCACATCCCAGGAAGGAGGTGGAGAAATTGGAGAAGATCCAGAGATGAGCAACAAAAAAGATTAAAAGTCTAGAAAACATGACCTAGGAGCTTTCTGTTCCCAGTGAGCAGGGCAGAGGCTGCTCCAGAGCACTCAGGAATGTACTGGAGCCAATTAAGAACTTGCTAGAGGCAATGACGAGAGACAGGCTAAGAGAACACCTGCAGCCACTAAGCACCTGCTGGGACTAGTTTAAAAGGCTCCTGTGGAGGGGGACTCGGGAGCTGAAAGTAAGGAGGTGCGCTGTGGAAGAGCTGGGAGGTTGAGCATGGCCAGGTACCAGGAGAAAGCATCTTTTGGGAAAGAGGCCCAGGGAAGAGCTATAGTTTCGGTAGTGGAGGAAAAATTACCTGTTGCTGCTGCCATTAGGGTCCCTGGGCTGAAACCCAGAGTAGAGGGCAGACTTGGGTCCCCCAACACTCCCCACACCACTTCAGAGACCCCTCCCCCCGAGGGGAAGTTGAGAATAAGGAGGGGTCTCACCCCAGACCCATTGACTGGCCTATGATGATGGTGGCTTAGTAAGCTGTGAACCCTGCCTCCAGAAGGGGAGAGAGGCTACACTGAGAGTGACAGTGAGCCCCTGAGGTAAGCCCCAACGGCCTAGAAGTGCAGAATCCCCCAGGCAAAAGACTGGAGCTCTGCCAGATTTTGATACATCCCAATTCCTGTAGGGATCATAGAATCCTACAGCTGGAAGAGACCTCAGGAGGTCAGCGAATCCAGCCCCCTGCCCACGGCAGGACCAATCCCAACTAAATCATCCCAGCCAGGGCTTTGTCAAGCCAGGACTTAAAAACCTCTAGGGATGGAGATTCCACCACCTCCCCAGGGAACCCATCCCAGTGCTTTACAACCCTCCTAGGGTGTGTCTACACTAGCCCCCTAGTTCGAACGAGGGTGGCTAATGTTGGTATTCGAACTTGCAAATGAAGTCCGGGGTTTAAATAACCCGGGCTTCATTTGCATGTTCTGGGGCGGGCGCCATTTTTAAATCCCCTTAATTCGAAATGATTGCCCGCGGCTACACAAGGCAGTCAGAAGTTAATCCGAACTAAGTCCTTAGTTCGGATTAACTGTTACTCCTCCTGCAATGTAAGGACTTAGTTCGGATTAACATCTGACTGCCGCGTGTAACCGCGGGCAGTCACTTCGAACTAAGGGGATTTAAAATGGCGCCCACCCAGGAACATGCAAATGAAGCCCGGGATATTTAAATCACGGGCTTCATTTGCAAGTTCGAATACCTACATTAGCCACCCTAGTTCAAACTAGGGGGCTAGTGTAGACATACCCCCTAGTGACATAGTTTTTCCTAATATCCAACCTCGTCCCTCCCCTCCACACACACACTGCAACTCAAGACTATTGCTGCTTGTTCTGTCATCTGTCACCACTGAGAACAGCCTCTCTCCATTTTCTTTGGAACCGCCCTTCAGGTAGTTGAAGGCTGCTATTAAATCCCCTCTCACTCTTCTCTTCTGTAGATTAAACAAGCCCAAATCCCTCAGCCTCTCCTCGTAAGTCATGTGCTCCAACCCCTGAATCATTTTGGTTGCCTTCTGCTGGAACCTCTCTAATTACGTTGATTGAACATATCTCAGCAGTCTTAGAGGACAGGAGAGCAATACATGTTTCTGTTGAAATGACTCTGGTTTTGAAGGACTGCGAGTAGCCTGCTCTAGGGACTGGTTAGTTGCTGGATTAGGTCTTTGCTATGTAGTACCTAAAAGTGACAGCCTGCCTTTTAATTGAACAGCCAAGGCCCATAATTGTTTCTTTACTTTACAGAAAATTACGACGCCAGGCTTTCGAGAATAGATATTGCCAACACACTGAGGGAGCAAGTTCAGGATCTGTTCAATAAGAAATACGGTGAGAGATCAGGCTAATTTTTCTTTTTTTCCTCTCCCCCCGAATCTTTCCCTTCTCTCTGTCTTTTCCCTTTCCTGTCTCCCTTTTCTCTGAATTTTGTTTTAATAACCTCTCCCTAGGTGGTTTCTTCTCCCTTTTCATTTAGATCCGTCGTTGTTCCGGGGGTCAAGAGTGGGACATGGCCCTTGAGCAGGGATTAAACCAGAATGGTATTTCTGTCCTCCGAGCAGGGAAGGAAGTGGCTTTTGTTGGAAGCTATGGGAGTGTAGGTGGCTGTTACTCAGCAGGCAAGATTCTTGTGATAGGGAGATCTGCGTCATTTGTTGCTGCTGCTTTGCAGTTCTGGGACAGATCCCCCACCCCCGACGGAAGGATGAAGATGGTAATTTCATTAGCAGAACACTGTAGAGCCAGGAAAATGCATTTGAAATTTTGGAAGTGGCTTTTGTTGGAAGCTATGGGAGTGTAGGTGGCTGTTACTCAGCAGGCAAGATTCTTGTGATAGGGAGATCTGCGTCATTTGTTGCTGCTGCTTTGCAGTTCTGGGACAGATCCCCCACCCCCGACGGAAGGATGAAGATGGTAATTTCATTAGCAGAACACTGTAGAGCCAGGAAAATGCATTTGAAATTTTGGGGGGGTGAGGGGAAAACTGGAAAGAGAATAAACAAACTACCAGCCACCGAGCAGAGCCTGCCAGAGGCAGATCCCTTCTATCTACCTGTGTGCTTCTGAAGTGGTCATCCCGGGGGATGAGTCTGGCACTTTGCATCCATCACTAGACTATCTGAGCCCACCCTACAACACCCCTGTGCGTTCGTGTGTAGATCAGGAGCCAGAGGAGTAAGTTATTGCCTGGGTCACACAGTGAACTGAAGTCTCCCAAGTGATGGACTAGTGGCCAAATCTTTGGGTCTTCCTTCCTCCCTCATGCAGGGAGCATAATCCAGGGGGCATGAGGAGTCTGCCTAATGTAGACACGTGATGGCATTTTCTTGGCAGGGAAGCTGCTGGCCTTTCTCCTGCAGATGGACACGGGGGGGGTGGAGGTGGGGGAATGAAATGCAAATTGTCCCAAATAACATCCCAAAGCAAATAGCACTTACCTGTCCATTCTTCCACCAGGACAGCCTGATCACCAGCTTGGGGTGCCCTTATCTTTGTCCCTGGCGTCTTCTTTTTCTTTTTTTTTTAAATATAGCTTCAGCTCCCTAGTTGTCCCTCCTTTAAGAACATAAGAACGTTCACACTTGGTCAGAGCAAAGGTCCATCTAGCCCAGTATCCTGTCTGCCGACAGTGGCCAATGCCAGATGCCCCAGAGGGAGGGATCACAACAGGTAATCCTCGTGATCCCTCCCCTGTCACCCACCTCCAAACAGAGGCTAGGGACACCATTCCTACCCATCCTGGCTAATAGCCATTGATGGACCTAATCTCCACGAATCTGTTTAGCTCTTTTTTTAAGTTCTAGCTTTCACCACATCCTCTGGCAAGGAGTTCCACAGGTTGACTGTGCGCTGAGTGCAGAAAAACTTCCTTTTGTTTGTTTTAGACCTACTGCCTATTCATTTCATTTGGTGACCCCTAGCTATTTTACTGTGGGAATAAGTAAATAACTTTTCCTTATTCATTTTTTCCACACCAGTCATGATTTTATAGACCTCTATCATACCCCCCCCTTAGTCTCCTCTTTTCTAAGATGAAAAATTCAACTCTTTTTAATCTCTCTTCAAAGAGGATCCGTTCCAAACCCCTAATCATTTTTGTCGCCCTTTTCTGAATTTTTTCCAATGCCAATATACCTTTTTTGAGACGAGGTAAACATCTGCACGCAATATTCAAGATGTGGGTGTACCATGGTTTTATATAGAGACCGTAAGATATTTTCTGTCTTATTCTCTATCCCTTTTTTAACGATTCCTGACATTCTATCTGCTTTTTTGACTGCGGCTGCACACGGAGTGGATGTTTTCAGAGAACTATCCACAGTGACTCCAAGATCTCTCTCTTGAGTAGTTGTAGCCAAATTAGCCCCCATCATATTGTCTATACAGTTGGGATTATGTGTTGCAATGTGCATTACTTTACATTTAACCACATTAAATTCTATTTGCCATCCTTTGCTTGATCAGCGCAGTTCTGTGCATTCACTACTTGCCTCGGGACCATTCCGTTCTGATCGTCCCCATGGTGATGGCCTGAAAATGTTGCTCCTTGATCTAATGATTGACATGCTCCATTAAGCAGCTTGTACGGTTGGTTCTGCACTTCAGGGGAGGAAGGGACTTTGGGTGAGGGTGTAGGTGCATCTGGGGGTGTAGGTGTGTGTGAGGGTGAGAGGAATAATAGGAGTGCAGGTCAGATCTGGTATCTGAAATCAGGCTTGAATCTTAAGCACATGTGGTTTGTTTTTCCTTCCAGGCGAGGCCTTGGGAATCAAGTACCCGGTGCAAGTGCCATACAAGCGGATTAAAAGCAACCCAGGGTCTGTGATTATAGAGGGGCTTCCTCCTGGGATTCCATTCAGGAAACCATGCACTTTTGGCTCGCAGAACCTGGAGAGGATATTGGCTGTGGCAGATAAAATCAAGTTCACGGTAACGAGGTATGTTTCCCTTCGGGGCTGTTTGCCATGCAACCTGGGAGGGGGAAGGGGACCAGCACACTGTCCCAGTGCCAAAGACCTGAAGTGAAGTTCCTGAAGTGAAGTCCCTGAAGCTAAATCCATCACATGAGCTTCCGGTCTCCCTCAAGGGAAAGGCTGTTAATACTCCCTAATGACCCTGGCTTCCATCCTGCTGAGAGACAACAATTAAGCTGGCAGTTAACAATTTGAAGTGAGCTATAAGATATTGGTTTCCCCTTCCTTTCCTCTTCCTTTCTGCTCAGCTGCCTGCCCGACGGGGCCAGTTCCTATTCCAGTAGGTAGCAGGGTGTAGCCATCAGAGGAATGAAAGTCAGCCTGTGTGTGCCAGCCACGCAGGGTGCCCCAGTCCCTGATGAGGAACCACTGAGGAGCGCTCCCCGTGGCGGGGGGTGGGGAATTATTATAACAAGCTGCAGGGGGTGGAGGGGGATGTCGTGCCCGCTTGTGGCTTACAGGAAATCAGCCAGTCAGCAAGGGCCGGGTGAGCAGCAGCGGCGGGGAGGGGGGGGTGGGGCAAAGGGATT